GGGCCCGCGTGTCCTGCCTCTCGCGGACTGCTGCGGGGCGGGAAGAGCCGCATGGGAGCGCTGGTGCCCCAAGGGGAGGCCGGGGGCCGCCCCCTTTCTCCTGTCTCCCGGGGAGTTCAGCTCCCCCCGGGGCGGGCGGGGTGGAGGAGCAGCGTCGGTAAATCAGTGAGCAGTGATTGAGTTTTTGGTAGGCCGGATTTGTCTTTTGCTTCACCCCGTGACGCTTCTTGTGTGTTTTTCTTTTTTTAACTTTCTTCCAGTGTCTGTTAGAGCTGATGAAGTGGATGTGGATGGGCAGTGAGCAGTGATTGAGTTTTTGGTAGGCCGGATTTGTCTTTTGCTTCACCCCGTGACGCTTCTTGTGTGTTTTTCTTTTTTTAACTTTCTTCCAGTGTCTGTTAGAGCTGATGAAGTGGATGTGGATGGGACCGTGGAAGATGACCTGGGTAAAAGCAGAGAAGGGTCTCGAACAGATGATGAAGTTGTCCAGAGGTTTGTAGCTGGGGGCTTAGGCCCGTTATTCCTGAATGGTTAAAACTATTGTTGTTAATTTAGGGGTCATTTCTTAAAGCTGCACAAGGAATAGAAGACATTGGTGGAGGCGGGGAGTAGCCTTTTCAAGATGTGCTCTCAATAAACTGGAGACACGTAGGCATCTGAGAGTAGGATAGTGTTTGTGAAACACTATATAATATAGAGCTGGAGGTAACGGGTTTCAGAAACACTTGGCTTATTTTCTCTAATAGCAGTAGTTGCATAAGAGCTGATAAGTAGAGATTTGTTTCCACAGGTAACTGTGTGTGGTAAACAGTATAAGTTTCATGCCAGATGATGGAATACCAATAAAACACTTAATCTTTTGTGAAATATGCCAAGTGCTGAGGATTAGAGTGGTTTATAGATGCATGTGTTCTTCTCAGTGTTCCTTTATAGGAGGGGAGGAAAAAAAAGACTTGCAAGCAGGATTTTCACCTGAGTCTTACTTGGGTGGAAATTCAGCACTAAGGGATAGTTACTGTTCTATTTCTCTGATGTGGTCATGCAACATAGATTAGATGTGTCAGTAATTAAAAGACTTGCTGTAACACTGAAAACTGCTAAACTGTAAAAATAGTGGTGCTGCATGTGAACAAGATTGCTTGACATTTTGAATTCTATTCTCTTTAGAGAAGAAGAAGCTATTCAGCTAGATGGTCTAAATGCATCCCAAATAAAAGAAATCAGAGAAAAATCTGAAAAATTTGCATTTCAAGCAGAAGTTAACAGAATGATGAAACTTATTATCAACTCATTATATAAAAACAAAGAGGTTGGTGCGTTTTTCAGTAGAACATGTTAGGACTGTTTGTGTGTTCTTGAATTCCTGACTACTGATTTCTGTTTCAGATTTTCCTGAGGGAACTTATTTCAAATGCTTCTGATGCTTTAGATAAGATACGGTTAATATCCCTAACTGATGAGAATGCTCTTTCTGGTAATGAGGAACTTACTGTCAAAATCAAGGTAAGAAGCATTAGATAACTGTTTTATCCACTCCATTGAGGGGCAGGAGAAGGAAAAAAAGGATGGTAGTGTCTTCTTAACCTGTTAAGGTAGTTGCTTAATGATGATTCTAACTCAAACCAAGGCCACTAGATCAGGACCCTTGCCATTCACTTCACCAGGTAATTTTTTTTGTCCATTAAAAATATTTTTGGTTTAATAAATAGTAACAAGTGTTGAAGTACTTCAAAGGTAGATTTTTCTGTACTGCTGCTCTTGCTTTGAAATCAGTTTATCAGAGCCAGGCAGGTTTAAAATGGGATGACAAGCTGCCAGGCTCCTTTTACTCCTTCACAGTAGTGAATATTGTCTGAAGGTTCAAAGTGAAATCCAATTTGATCTTTCCTTTCTTTTCAGTGTGACAAAGAGAAGAACATGCTTCATGTTACAGATACGGGTATTGGCATGACAAAGGAGGAGTTGATTAAGAATTTGGGTACCATTGCAAAGTCTGGTACAAGTGAATTCTTAAACAAGATGACTGAAATGCAGGATGATAGTCAGTCAACATCTGAATTAATTGGCCAGTTTGGTGTTGGCTTTTATTCTGCTTTCTTAGTAGCAGACAGAGTTATTGTCACATCAAAACACAATAATGATACTCAACATATTTGGGAGTCAGACTCAAATGAGTTCTCCGTGATCGATGACCCAAGAGGAAACACTTTAGGACGTGGTACAACCATAAGGTAATTAAGTCTGTTTCCTTGGATTAAGAAGTTGTGTGTGTAGATAGATACCTAGTTTGACAACGCTAAAATCACTCGGATACTCCAGTGAATACATACGTTTTTCTGGTCCTGGAGAAACAACTGTTGCCAGACTCATGAGCATCCTAAGTAGTAATTACATGTAAAAGTTGTAGAGTTTTACTGCAGTTTGTTTATCTCATGAAATGTCAAGCTGAGAATATTACAAGTATCTTGAAAAGTAACTGGTGGCAAGTAATTCCAGATATTTCCAGCAGCCTGCCAGCTCTTATACCTTCCCAAAGCCATCAGGGCTAAATGAGACTGGCCAGAGGGATGTAGAGCTTCATTTTGGAAACAGATTGCTGCTTATTTCCTGGTGGGACTGGTCTGATAAAAATACAATAGTAGTAGCTTGACAGCACCCCTGCTTTATCACCTCAGGCATATGCATTTCTGTGATTTAGACCTTCCTTTTCATAGAATCATAGAATGCTTAAGGTTGGAAGGGACCTCTAGAGGTCATCTAGTCCAACCCCCCTGCACACGCAGGGTCACCAAGAGCACGTCCAAGTGGGTTTGGAAGATCGTACAGAGAAGGGGACTCTCTAACCTCTCTGGGCAGCCTGTTCCAGTGCTCTGTCACCCTCACTGTCAAGAAATGTTTCCTTAAGTTCCTGTGGAACTTTTAATGTTTCAGTTGTTTGTGGCCATTCCCTCTAGTTCTGCCAGTGGCCACCACTGAAAAGAGGCCAGCACCATCCTCCTCACTCCCTCCCTTGGGGTACTTATAGACACTGATCAGATCCCCTCTCAGCCTTCTCCTCTCCAGGCTGAACAGGCCCAGCTACCTCAGCCTCTCCTCATAGGGCAGATGTTCCAGGCCCCTGATCATCCTTGTAGCCCTGCGCTGGACTCTCTCCAGGAGACACACTCTTCTTTCGGAACTGCTGCTTGGAAGAATGAGAGGAAAGAAGTTACTCTTCTCAGTGCTTTAGTTTCAGATGAAATCAGTAGGACACCCTCAGCCTGATCACTATAATGTGATTGGAGGTTTTTTAGATTTTTGAACTTTGTACTGTTCTGCGAAATTTTAATATTCCAAAAAGGATTGTATTCTTGAATCATGGGGAGCTTTTTACTACTTCAATTGTGACTAAGTAAACTTGCATCACGGTAACAGCAACAGTGGAAAGGTATCTTATTTCTGTAAGTCTTCTAAAGTACTGGTCTCAGATTTTGAACAAGTGTTTTTTTTTTTTTCACTTTAGCCTTGTCTTAAAGGAGGAAGCATCTGACTACCTTGAACTGGATACTGTTAAAAATCTAGTCAAGAAATACTCACAATTCATAAACTTCCCCATATATGTGTGGAGCAGCAAGGTCAGTATCTTTTTTATTGAGGGTTAAGTCAGTATGAGCTGAGGCTGGGGGGGTGGTTGGTTTGTTTTTGTTTGTTTTTTTTTTTTTCTTTTTCTCTATAGTATTAGTGTGGAATTTCTTAACTGTCTTAAAGGATTAAAAAAAAA